AATACGTATCAGTCATTATCCCATTAGAGTGATTACTACGTTTCAGTGTGGCTAAGTGTAATTATCGATACCACAGGGACCTTACAGTTATTTAAGCTTACCTCAGGGGGGTGTGTGTAATTTACCCTTTATTTTATTAAGTATTTTAGGAAAGTACTCCGTACGGATTACTTGCGTACCTTTGGGACTCTAAATAAATAAATATGTCACATAATAATTATATATTCAACTATTACAAGTTATTAATTTAATATGTCTTATGTTGAGAGACAATGTGAAAAATTAACATCATCGATTAATTATTATCGAGGTCTTTTCCATGTTACATTGATTAAAATAAAACAAATAAATTTGATCCCAAATATATTAATTTATAGAAATTAAACTGTAGTTAAATGAATCGGAATAAAAGAATTGCACAAACAATCACAGCCGACAGTGGATACATCGACTAATGGGCTCAATAACACGTGGCACGGGTCATACCCAATTAGGATTGGGCCGGGTCTAAAATTAAATGACTGAATAGTTTAGCCCAAATCTAATTGGTTTCGTAAATAATGAAGCCCATTCACAAAAAAATTTCTCTATTGGTTAGCTTCTACATCAACTTGGTCAGGATTTTTTATTTGTTTTTTTCTTTTTTCTTTTTTCTTTTTATAATTTATAAGAATTCGAGTTTTGCAGGATTAAATTTTGTCTTTGTTCAACAATATAATGATTGGAGTATATTATAATTGTCTTACTTAACAATTTAACATACTAACACGATCTTATAAACATTAATCCCACACGAAATCTCAACAACTGTTGATTGTTGGTAATATAATTTAAAATACATTTTCTTGATTTCAAATCACATTTATTGAAAATATTGATCTTAGGTTTGACTTTTCTGCCATGTGGGCTTCTACTATAGGACTAAAACTCTAGTTTTTGTTCTTTTTTAATCATGTTGGTTATAATTAAATGGAAACCTTTATTCTTAAGTTTCTTTTTTTAGTATTTATTTAGGTGGAATCAGAGAATTAGTATCTGTTTAGAGCTGACCTGATCGCGAGAGGGTTTTCTCCGATGCCGACGGCCGAATAATAACGAGGAAAACAACGTATTCGATAAAATTGAAATATCGTACCATGCACATTGTATTTAATTATAAAATGTATATGTTGAAATAAAACATTATAAAATACATTTATAGTGGGTGAGACGGTCTTTGGGCACTATAAATGTATTTCAATATGATCTTGTAGTTAAATACATTTATGAACATTTAGTTAATTGCATATCTTGTATTAATTTATGAGTGAATAAACTTTTAGTTATTATTATTATTATTATTATATACCTCAGAAAAAGTATCTGCTGCTGCAGTTGTGGGGATAAATTATAAAATAAAATGAATTGAAGTAATTAAAGGGTCCAATGCATGCATGGATATATATTTGCAGAGGTTACAGGCTGCTGGGAATTGGGACCAAATTTCACTAATAAATATTAAAAATCCAATACATACACAAAAATTCATATCTCCATTCAATAAAATGGGTGTATTGATTAATTATCTAAAAATAGTCGATGGGGTTTAATTAATTAATTATCTAAAATAATTAAAAAAAAAAATGATAAGTGCAAAATTAGGTTTTGGTGAAGTGACATAACGATGTGATAATAGAGAATGATAAGAGACATACTGTTTGCCTTTGAGCCGTCAAATCGTGATCTATGCTTTACAGATCGACGGCTCTTGTTCGTCGTCACCTCCGCCGGCTGTCATCCACCGTCAATTAGTCCTCTTTTGTCTCCCACTTGTTTATACGTGGCTTTCTTGCGTCATGCATACGTAATATTTACAACATTATAATAAGTATCTTTTAATTTAACTCTTTCTTTTTTGTTACAAAGTCAAACCCTTGATTGACTTTGTGTCGTGATCGATTTGTATTGAGTTGGATTCTTACATGGTTTGTACCTTTGTGGTATTTATAGGGCCAAGAATGCACGCCAACCCGCGGTCGAGTGAAAATATATTCGGATCTCAAATTACTTTTCAATTACATATACTATCTTTTCAGGTGGACAGTAAAACAACTGTACATGCCAAAAGTATCAAACATTGTCCGTCCATTAGACATGCATTAAATTTGTCAAATGGACATAACTTAGCCGACAGACTCTCTCGCTAGTTCGCAGTCGACCATCCTCTAGCTAGCTTGTGGTCGACCCTTTCTCACATATCCATCGCGGCTCGTGGAAGGTTCCTCGCGGGAGCCTAATTTCACGGGTATAAGAGGCGACTATTTTATATGGAATCTGACCCTTATACGCATTTTTCGGGCCGGAAATGGCTAATGCATGGGCCAATATGGTTGAAATTGATCCGGCCCACTATATATTTTAACTCACGTGGGCCTAATGGGCCTCTTCTATTAACTTTTATTGGATCAACTTCCTCCCTAATTTGTATTTTAGGTTTATCTAATATATTATTTTCTTTTCTAATTATTAAAAAAAAAAAAAAAAAAGACAAAAATAGCGGTTCTGCCATTAATCCCAAAAATTAAGATTTGAATGACTAGGCAATTTGCATAATAACTATGCCTATGGGGCTATGAGAGTGGGAGATTTCAAGAAATAGTGCAAGTGGGGAATTTTGTATTCTAATACGTCCAAATCAGACAATCAGGTGTGCCACCTACCCCGCCATGGGGGCTCGACACGTGGCAGCCCCCCATCGCTCCTGCTACTACCATATATCGCGTAATTAATTAGACAAAATAAATTAAAAAAAATGCTTCTCAGAGAAACACTAGTGCATAGTCGATTGTGCCCTTTTATGTAATTTATTTTTGTAAATAATTTATGTAATGTATTTTTTTTTGTAAATAAAACACATTTTTTAATGAATTATTTGCAATATATTCAATCATTACATATATTCATTGGTGCTTGTTAAAGACAATCCCTCCAACATACATCAATCATTGCACCTTTGATTGTCACATTTTACATAACTTCACGATTATTTAATTTTGCACATTAACAGCATGACTTTATGACTTAATTGTATTCAGATTTAGATTAAAAAGATTAATTATTTTTTTAATAAAACCAAGAAAATGGGTTACAGCATTATGTTGATAAAGGTAGAAACAAAAATTTGAAAGAAAATTGAAAAAGGAATGCACTCTATGCTAAAATTATTGGAGTCCAGAAATAATTTGGAGTTTATTTAAAAGAGGGAAAAAAATAAAAGGACCTTTCTTTCAGCCAATCAAATAAATTAATATTTATATGGGGTAACATCGTAAATGATTAATTCTTAATTTTTAATGCAATTTCATTTACTGATTAAAAAAGAAAACATAACAAGGAACAATGGCAACATTTCCTTTTTTACCCTTAATTAATAAATAAAATTTCAAAAAAGGGGTTCGGATTTTCAGGAAGAAAAAAAAAAATAATACTTAATGCTTATCTATAGTTTACGATTCCTGTACATCCGGTGTAGATAATCTAATCCGCTTGATATCTGGCTCGGCTTCGGTAGAGCTCGAGCCGGGAACCGAGGCTGGATTTTCGGAGTGGGTATCACAGCTAACACAAGCCGCCGCATCGAGGACTCCCATCGGACTCGGCGGCGCGTGGGGCTCGATGCGCATGAATTTATTTCCGTCGGAGGGACACGTGTCCAACAGGTATTCCTCCATTAGTTGATGACAGCTTCTCACCTGTTCCTGTTCCCGGGAAATGACCAAAATAAGTATATTTGCACTCCCATCCCCCAAGAAGTTGGGAATTCAATATTAACCCCTGAAAAATATCACATAATTTCAATTTTAACCCAAAACTTACTCTGCTTATTCTCTCATCGAAGGTATCAGCCAAATTCACACCCTCGCCGGCGGCGGAAATCACGGCGGCCGCTGCAATCACCGACGGCGGAAATACCAAAAAATCCACCACTGATGATTCGTAATTAAACAGCGCGATTAGGCAAATCGAAAACTTCACTAGTTATATAAATTAACATAATAACGGAATCTAGGGTTATTATACCACGGGTGGTGTTGACGATGATATCTGAAGCGGCGGAGTGAACGGTGGGAAACGAATCGGAGTCGGAGGGGAGAAGGGAGATAAAGTAACGGAGGTAATCAAACGGAGTAACGGAGCGTAGTCTCCAGTCGAGAGTCGCCATAACCAAAAGCTCCATTCTCTGTACCGTTTTGGGCTCAAAAACGAACTTGAACTCGAGCGATTGCAAATCCAAAAGCCACGGGACGTACAATTCCTCCATCTTCGCCGCTAGTGAGAGGCACGCCACTGACAGAAGCTGAAACGGCCATCCAGTTAACGGAAGTGTGTGCGACGAGAGGAAACGGTCGAAGTAGTTGACGGAGAGGAACGCCGTTACAGGCTTGAATTGAAAATGCGCGTGAACCTGTTAATTGTAATCAATTGGAACTGATTTTGATTAATTAATCGAATAATCACCAGAAACAAAACTTCTGCGGTGAATATATATATAGATTTAACAAAATGTATGTATACCTTGAGGATAGAGTTGATGGAGTCCTGGCGAGAGGTGAGATGAGCGGATCGATTTCGGCAGAGACGGATGTAATCGGGTCGGGGCATGTGGTGGGGCTCCGAATCCAGAAGTCGGGCGATGAATAATGAAGATTCATCGGAACAATATTGTTGGGGAGGCGGAGACGAGGTTTCGTCGGCGCCGGATCTGAGGAAATCGGCGGCGTCTAGTTCCTCGTCGCAGTAAAAGGAGTCGCCGGACATGGCGGATGAATGAGAGTAATCAGCGGCGGCGGGAGAAGGGCATTGGTGGAGGTGGTAGGGATTGGGTGGAAACACACATGTCCGATTATGGTTTGTGGAGGAGTACTACTAGTAAGGACATTTTGCTGTTCACTTCTCTCTCACCGTTAGTGTGTGTGTGGTGCGTTTTTTCTCTCTCTAGAAAATCTAAATAAGTAGTAATCTAATCTCGAATCCTCAACTGTGAGGAGAAGGAATTGCGCGCATTGGGTGTTGACTGTTTGGGGAAAAAAGATGTGGTCCGGTCCGATACTTAGCGAGTCAAAGTCCACCGACTAAACTCGGTTTCGCATCGTAAGATAATTTGCAAATCATACGAGAGATGTGTATTTAGATTAAGCAATGCAATCTCCGTACGAAACTAGGTTACATTATGGTATAATTCAACGTAATATTAATTCAATTGATGAATATAATCACTAGATACATTTATTGAATCTAAGTGATAAAATTGTGTTCAAATGCAATTACTTTTGGTAGGTATAGATAGGGCTGGGGTATGCTATCGATTATCAGGGGTCCACCGTATCGTGATTCCGATGATCGAATTTAGGGGTGACAATTGGAAGAAAAATTTAAACTTTGCTAATTACAGTTCATAATAATTTAATTTTTTAAACAATATTTTTCATTAAATTTTGAAAATCTTAGCAATATACTTATATAGAATATAGATGGTAATACTTTGATATTCGGGATTGACTGGTCTTTGGTTCTGTATTTACAGCAATGCATGGGGTTTATTTATTTATGATTTTAAATGCTCTGTGAGGAGCTGAGTACCTACTTTCAGTTTTCCCTTTTGCATGTGCTTTCTTTGGTGCCCACCTGGTAATATATATATATGTGTAAGGCTGCTTTCAAAAGGGAACTAGTTTTGTATTTATATTTTAATTTATATATATATATATATATATATATATATATATATATATATATATATATATATATATATATATATATATATTTTGTATATTTGAAATTACCATAGAAATATGAGTCAAGTTTCTTTCTTTACAAATAATAACACAAAATATTTATATTTAGAGTGAAGGGAAATACTTAGAAAGACCATAAGGAAGAGAATAAAATTCGGCACTCCTCGGATCTTTATCGAAATACTTGAACTTAGCCCACCAATGTCGCCCGCTGTCTTTTCTCGTGGATTCGTTCTTTCGAGCGAGAGTAAGATCGAGAAATAGAGCAACGATTCCTGCTACTGTGGCTGGGGATGTAAATATCACTTGCACCATTTTGTTGAACTGCGTTTTATATTCACCGATACAAAATTAGTAATTTTTTTTTTTAAATGCTTATTAGAAAATGGGAGTCGAGGGTATATTGGTAATTTTTTACGTACCCAAACGGAACGAGTGTGAACGGGGCCGTGACCGGAAGTTAGGACGTAGTCAGTGAAATACCTCGGCACTGATAGGCCCATGAAGAACGAGAAGCCGATGATGAACTTTGTTCTGAAACTGCTTAGGTTGCAATATTGCAATAAACCAAGACCAGCACTAGCTGCATTGAGTGATTAATAAAAATGAATTCGCAATTTCAATAATTCTCAACGAGCAGAATATATTCACATTTACATGGGACTAATAAAAGCAATTATACACAGAATATTTGGAGAATTCGTATTAGAAAAACGGATACGTACACATGAGAGCAAACAGGACGCAATACAGAGCTCCAACAATTGGCAGTGGAATCGAAGCGACGATAGCTCCAAATTTTCCTGTTTAATGCCATACAAGACTTTATTATTATACCATATGAGTAAAGAAGTATTTAGTGTTGTATTTGTATGTAATGGAAGAGCATATAATGCGGCAATCAAGAAACGAACCGAATATTGAAAAGAAGAGCATGAAAACTGCTGATATCTGAATCACCCTTCGGCTCCCAACTCGTGTCAGAGCCAATAACCCTACATTTTCGCTGCACCGAAAGAAAAGTAATAAAAATTTATGCAAATGAACAAAAATGGAGATATTAGGATTGATGAAGGTGTTATATAATGGCTTAAGTTAAATTAATACTCTATAACTCGGTTCTGTTGTTTTTTCGTAGGGTTAGATGTATTACACTGAAACGGTAGATCCACTTCCTGTACCGAATAAACCGTCCAGAAAAATGCCTACTCCCTGTATCTCACATGAAGGAAAAAAAAGTGAGAATAAAAATATTTACGAATGATGGAAATCGGTAAACGAATAATTTGACGTATATTAAGCTCTATCCTTACCAGCCAACCAACACCTCGACTAAGAACAGATGATGGTACATGCGTAGCACTCCCGTATCTAGATGCAGCAATAAATGCCCCAGTGGACTATCACAATAAAAATAAAAAATAAAAAAGGAAACAAAAAATCATTGATTGAGCAAGTAAATATAGCAAATTGTCCCGGAAAATTCGAAAGAAATGGTATGAACCTCAATCAAAGCGACGAAAGCTGCTGCTATCATGACAAAAGCTTCTCCAGCGTGTAGGCTGGGCGCACCCCACTGAACCGGATACGGAAAGCTAACCCTGCATGTGTCAAGCAATAGCATAAGCACTTGGAATCAACAAAGTAGAAAGCTTCTGGTATTTGCTTTTACCACGTAAATCATTTGAATTCATCGGCCAAAAATTATTAAAAGGAAATGAGAAAATGTGTCACTTATTGAGCAGAAGAAGAAAACAAGAATTCGAAGATGGCAAATGGAGTTTGTTCACATACCATGAAGATCCACTTACAAGTCCAGAACGGTCAACACGGCAACTCAACTGCGTGTTCAAGGGCCTGTTTTTGTATGCACCAGCTACTGTCAGAAGAGCTGCATAAGCCCATACTATCCCCACAGACAACAGAACCGCAAAACGATCGAACATGGGACGCTTAATGCTCCACATATGAGGGATAAACTGCACCAAATGTTAAAAATTGCTCGTAACTTGATGTGTTAAAATCTTGTATAGCATAACAGATAATTTTGCAAGAAAGACATTAATACCCCTCAAACAGAACACTCTATGCTCTCTTACCTGGGACAACAATATAAGAATAATCAGCTCCGGGAGCCCGATTTCCACACATTCCGCGAGCTAAAATAACGACAAGTAAAACATTGTAAGATGCTTTTGATCAGCACTAAAATTCTCCATCGGTATCACTTTTTGGCACTCGGGCATATAATAAAACCATCAAACTCACATTCGTAGTAATGTTTGAGTCATTACAGATTTATAGTGCTAGAAAGATTTCATACCAGTGGAAAACCCTGTTCATAGAGGCCAAGTCCGACGAGAGTTACAAGCGGCACAGCCGAAAGAGGGCTGATGAACCTACAATGTTAAGACTAAGGGGACTTAATTATTGATTTTTCAAGAAAAGACTAACAAACAGTATAAGATTTTTTTAAAAAATATCTAGCTACCTACCTCACAACAATTCTCCAAATTCCAAGAAAACCAAGCAGCATAGGCAGTACAGAGGCAACCATGAGAGCGCCTTGAATTGCTCTCATCGTCCTTATAAACCTCTAAAACCAATTAAAACGGAGAGACTATCGAGTTAACAAACGAACGTGGATTCATTTAACAACTATAGTTTTAAAAGATGGTGAAAAGCTAACCTGATAAGGGTTAAGATAGATATAGTATCTTTGTGAAAATGCAACATACAGAGATGGAGTTATGAATCTAAACGAACCGCCTACGACAACAGGCAAACGAGTACCGAACCAGGTTTGAAGCAATGTGTTCACTCCAGAAACAAACAGCAATGTTTGTACCACTTGAGCCTTTTCCACCTGGTCAAGGTTTAACACAGAATTAGGTTCAATTTCTACAAAGGGGGGTTTTTAATCTTAACACAAACATGTATATGTTCATGATATATATTTAAATATTGGGGGAAAAAAACTTAAAATCAATCGATAATACTAACATTGCCGCCACCCATGTAAGGAACAATTATGGTGGGAATAATCACACTTGTCCCAAGCATTACCAAATAGTGCTGAAACCCCAGAACAATTGCTTCAGCTGCATCTCAATTAATGGTAAAAATTCAGAAACAATTATAATTTTTGGGAGAATTTCACTTTTAATTAATTCCTTTTATTTTATAAAAAAATTAGACACGTCGCCGCCATAGATGATACAAGCACGCACAAAATGAGTGGTGTGTGTGCGTGAGAGAGAGAGGGGGGAAGAGAGAGAAAATTGTGCAGAGATACCCCATGAAGGATTGCTGTTAACGCAATAATCGACGCCGGGAAGCTGTTCGTTGACAGGGTGAGGCACCAATTCGTCCGCCACCTTCGCCGCCGCCTCCGCCGCCGTCATTCTCTCTCTATCTCTGCAGCTCACCCAAACCCCCAACTGTTATGAAGTGATGAAGAAATCAAGCCCTCTCACCATACATATATATAATTAATTAAAATAAAAAATAATAAGGTTTTCAAATTACTGATACTGTATTTGTACGTACACTGTACACACTATGTACCCATGCACAATTTGCAGATATCTTTGGTCAACCTCTTTTCTTGTTTTTTGGTCAACGAAATCTGTGTTTGTTTGTTTATTAAATGAAATTGTTACACCTTCTTGCTATAAATGAATTTATAAAATTTATTGAACATTGTTAAATATCGTAATAAATACTAAAAGTTTTATTATTTTAGTTGGTCGAATACTTGAATTATAATAAAATAAAAATATGTATATTAGTGCAAACTTTTCATATATTGGTCATTTTATTTAAATTTAATTGGAAAAATAAACAATTTTTTTGATTAAAAAGAATGTATTGTTTCTAATATGAAGAAAATTTTTTGAGTGTGAGTCTTAAAAATAATAGAAAATTAAAAAATAAATCAGTATGGTTAGGCAAAGAAGTTGAGAATTCAGAACCGGAAGCCAACCAATGTGGTGAATAAGACCTTCTTCTTATCACTAAAAAGTGACATAATATAACCTAACTCACCAACCAAAACTCCTGAATTTATTTTGTTGAATTTATTTGGCACGTTATTCCCTTAAATATAATTAAAAATCGAATAAGAAAGTCTAACTCAATGAACTACAAATTTGGTTGTTTGAGTTTTGTCAAATTTGAACTAAACAATTGTCGAAATTTCATCTGAAGTATGCTTATGATATATAGCATGAATAAAAGAAGCGGAATCGGTCTGATGTGAGAAGAAAAAAAACCCACATAAAAGAAGGCACACGTTGTGAGAGAGCTACAAAAATGAGTGTCCGGAGAGGTTTTTCGGGGATTTGGACTCCGACGGCCGAATCAATCGGAATCGTGCAGAACCAATATAAGTGTATTAATTTTGAGAAATATAATAAGAATGTGTGTATTAGAAATACTTAGGAGAGTCATCGTTCTCATGCATGTGCTTCAATACTGTATTTATACATGTCATAGGTATGGGTGACGGGTCCACTGTTCTGTGTTTGGTCAAATAACAAGTAGGAGTGATGTGACTACTACGAGTTGCGTTTGTCTGATGAGGCTGAACTATCCTATTCCATGCGATCTAATTAATCAGTTCAATAGAAAGAGTCCGCTGATGTGATCGCCCTTTATTGTGCCACAGGTAGGCATCTCCCCGATCCACGTCATGTTGCCGTTGCCGGGTGCCGGCAATTGAGCCCGTATCGGCTCATGATTAAATTGAAACGACATTTGAAATAAAAGCACAATAACTAAAAAGGAAAACTAGTTTTGGGCTGAAAAATAACGAATGCAAAGTTACGTTGACTAATTAAACGTTACCACCATATACCATAAGTCCACAACCGATAGTATTGGTGAACAAATTCGGCCCAGGCCCGTCGGCCCGCCCGCAACCCAGGCTCATGAAGCCCGCTCACACCAAGCACGTAGATTCAGCCCCGCCCGACCCAGTAATTTAATTTCATGGGCTAGGCATCGGTTTTACTCCGTGTAATTTTCTTAAATTACTTTTAATTTTCCTTATATTTTCTTATGTAATGTTTCCTTCGGTAGTTTCTTGTTATTTTCCACTTATTTTACAACTTTGAACTTTAATAAATATGAGTTTCTACTTTCAACTTTTCTTCTTTAAGTTTCTACTTTTATGAGTTTTTTTTTTGTTTTTCTTTCTATTAATAAAATATCAAAAAATACTTTAAAAAATATGTATCTTACTTATATAATAACTTTAAAGTAAATATATAATTAAATCTCATTCTATATAATTATATGAATTGTCTCGGGCCTTGGGCCCGTGAAAATAGGGTAAAATGGGCTGGGGGGCTGGACTCATGGTTTCCCTCCGTGGGCCGGCCGGGCCGACCCATTAAAGTAGTGGGCCGGTAGTCATATGTTATAATATTGGATTAGTCAATAAACTTCATTAGCTCATTAATTTAATCACCACAACACTTTGCTAAATAAAATATTCTCATTTATCTTTTTTTTTTAAATCAAAATAAAATTATATAATTTCACGATCAGAAAAGAAATTTAGAGAATTGACCAAAAAACAAATAATCATCTCATCTCACAATGAAGAACACGTCACCCACCAATTATTTAAAAGAACTACCAAGTAATTGTAAGGCAATTTACCAACTTAAATTAATGCTTATTGTTTATTGAAGCTAAGAGGGTTTTTGGCTAAACTTATTTTAAACAACTGATAAGTTCTTACGTCTGATAAAATGTTTTAAGAGCTGATAAGCTGTTACATCTTATTTTTAAGATTAATTTTTAGAGTGTTTGGATAATGAACTTATTTCCTATTTTTACTCATTATAAGATCTTAAATAAAATGATGGGGTAGAGATATTTTAAAAAAAAAAATCCTATTTGCTCCAAAACAGCTTATTACTAAACACTTTAAAAGAGTTTATAAGCTCTAAAACATCTTATAAGCTTCTTTTAACATCTTATAAGCTTAGCTAGTTACGATTGAATCTAAATAAATTTATATAGTGTTTTTGTTTGTTTCTAAAAGCGTGTTTTTGCATACATAACGAATATTCTATTGCAAAATAACACGACTTATTTGAGATTAATTAATTAATCCCATCCCCGTAAGCAAAGATTAATCAAATGCTAATCAGTTCAAAATAATAATATATATATATATATATATAAATATGAACAAATAGTCGTCTCTCTCGGTTGTCTTCTCCAAAATTCCAATCCCATAAAATAAAAAATCACAGAACCCCCATTCATTCCTCCATTACAATCAAATCATCATGAGTTACTACAAGGACAATCAACCCCCCGTCGGCGTACCTCCTCCTCAAGGCAAAATTCAATTCCTATATTTAATTTCGTATTTCCATTTCTTAAATCTGATTATTTGTGATCTGATGAAAATAAATCGTCCTGAATTTTAATTTTTGGATTCTGATCGTACAGGATATCCGCCGCAGGGGTACCCACCCCAAGGGTATCCACCCCAAGGGTACCCACCCCAGGGTTACCCACCCCAGGGTTACCCGCCGCAGGGTTACCCGCCGCCGCAGTACGCCCCACAATACGGTGCTCCTCCTCCGCAGCAGAAGCATAAAAAGGACAAAGAAGGTGGCTTCATCGAAGGATGGTACGCCGCTTTTATATATATATATATATGTATTACAACATTTTTTCTCAATTTTTTTTTATTTCGTTTCAATTTTCAAAGCATGTTGTTACATAATTTTTTTAAAATAATAAAATAATATAGTAAATCAATTTCGTTGATGATCCGGTGGTGAAACGGTGGCGGTAGAATTCTCGGATTTGGATTTGGATTTGAATTTTATTTAAAAAAAAATTAGTTGACTTTTTTTTTTTTTTAATTTTTGGATGTAAAATTGTGCAGTATGGCTGCATTGTGCTGCTGTTGCCTACTTGATGCATTCTTCTAAGGATGAGAAAAAATACGGAGAAGGATTTGTTTGATTATTTTGAACGATGTCGATTTTCGGCGTTCGATTAAATGTGTGTACATTTTTGGGCAATTTTTCTTGGTTGCTTATTATAATGTATGTATATGTGAATTCTTGTTCTTGTACTTGTCATGTTGATGATTTGATTTGATTTGTTTGTTACATTTTTTTTTTTTTTTTGAGAAGAATTTGTTTGTAACATTTGCTTCTTAAATTTGTTTGTGGTGGTGATTATTTACAATGTGGGATTCTAATAAAGTTTCTTGTGATGAAAACATGCAATTTTCACTTTGTAATAGTTCAGGAGCTGGCTCGTGAGTTTTGTTTATTTATTAGGGAAAAATAACTGAAAAAATAAGAGGAGGAGATTAAAAGCATTTCACATGAATATTCAATTTTTTTAGGCAATATAATTTAATTTTAAAAAGTTAGTAGAAAATAATATTTAAATAAATAAAAATACCATTATTTGTTATATATTTTTTTATGATTCAATATTATGTAATGAACGACATGTATATTTTCAAACTGGCAAATATCTTAGAATAGCAATAAACAATCTTCGATTTGCACGATACGCTGTCGTATTCCGAAGGCAACATGTTGCTTGCACGAATATTCCGAGCAACTGGGGTTATTTTTATGCGCAATTAATTATATTTCTCAATAAATAAATAATTAAAAGTACAAAGACTTTTTCATATACTAGCAACTTGTGAAATTGTATCAAGTATTAATAAGTTATGCCTTAATTAAATAAAGCCGTTCAGATTATCGGCCGTCCGATTACGTATTTAGCATCTTGTTTGATGATTACATATTTAATAATTTAAATATTTAATTTGATGGTATATATTATATATATTCCAAATGCATTAATTTAGAAATTACAAACTCGTCCTCAAATTGAAATGTTTTGTTGGGCCTCAAAATTGGTTTTAACATGGACCATTCAAATATTTGGGCCTTGACTATTAGTATTTGTCTTTCTGGCCCATAAATTGGCTTAATTCATACGAGGGATTGTTGGTTTTACGGCGTATAGCACAGAAGAAAACGAATAGGGGTAAATCTGTAAATATTAAAAGTATATGAGTATATTTAAGAATATGCTATTAAATATATATAAGTCGTTATTTATATATAATTTTCAGGGTAAATTACAACCACTCCATGAGGTATGGTTGATTTACGAAAAACCCCTCTTGTTTGCATAATTACATCTACCCCTCAACCATGATTTTTTCTTACACCTCAACCCTTATTGTGTCAAATTCAACATAATCATCTAGATTTCGTGGAATGTGCTCTAGTTTGTAGTCATTTTGTGTAAAATACAGTCTCTGATGCATCAAAATCTGATATATACAAGCCAAAAAACACATATTATGATCATCGTACTTCATAATGTGAAGTTCGAATGGAATAAAACGGGTAGAAAAGTGATAATATTTCATATAATCTAGAAGATTCCACTAAATTTTATAGTTAAGGGTGTGGTTGTAATTAACCAAACAAAAAGGGGATTTTCGTAATTTGACCATACCTCAGGGGTGGTTGTAATTTACCCTAATTTTATTTATTTAGTTTCATAAAAACATATTCAAAATAAATTTTACTATCAACCATCAGTTTGCAATTGATCATGATTTCATTAAATCATGCAAATAATTAGTGAAGTAACAATAAAATATTTGAAAATTTGTTATTCAAGTATATTTCTAACTTTTTAGAAATTACAAAATGATTCATAACGTCCAACACGTGTCCTCCAGTCTCCTGCACGAAAAACGTGTCCGAAACATTAAACACGAAAACGTTACGAAATTGAAGTTTTCCGTGCTAAGTTTCACAAAACTAGAGACAATTTATTGAAGTGTATACATATAGATATATAGTAATAAAATGCAGTTTATTGTACTTTAAACTTTTAATAGCGAATATGCAAATCTATTACTAACTTTCATTATAGTCAAGCCTTTGACCAATTTGGATTGAGCTTAAAAATAAAAAATAAAAAAATATAAATAGGTGCTCTAAAAATCCACGTGGAAGAAGAAGATAAAAATAAGCACAAACACCGTTAACTTCACACCTTCAAAACTATACACACAGTTACATATACGTATAGGCAATAAGATTGACAAAAAATACGGTGATCCAATTTCCGGTGATCGGATCTTCAAATCGGAACAATATTCTCCAGTCTCAGGTCACATTTCATCTTTATCCTCATTCAATTTTTGAATTCAACTGTGCGTTGAGACCAATTTCGAGATACAGCTATGCTTTGTTGCGAAATTAGGGTTAGGGTTCCACATCTGCCGCTTAGCGAATCCGATTTTTCGTGAAAGTACCCAATTTCGCTTAATTTTGGTAATTATTATTCGAGATTTTGTTTTTCAAATGTAATTTGATTAGGGAGAACACTAAAATCTGATTAGTGATCTTTCATTTTCCTTTTTCTTTTGCATTTTTTAAACCAATAGGATTTTCTGAGAAAGTAACAATCTTTGGTTCTGCTTTGTTTTTACTTATTAATCCCAAGCAATTCTTCAGGTGTGTATATTTTTTTTTTCAATTTTTTTTTTGTGATTAATAAATGCTAGGAAATAGCTGTTCATTTGGTGGCATGGGCATTTTCTCTAGCATTTTGATTTTGGTCATTGGAGTAACATTGAGCTGTTTGAGATTGTGTGAAATTGGGGAAAATGTTTGAGATAATATCTTTTATTTCTGTGCAGTTGATCTTTTTTTGTGGGATTTGATTGCTCTTGACAAACCAATGGGGGCACCTAAACAAAAGTGGACTCCAGAAGAAGAAGCAGCTCTTAAAGCGGGAGTTCTAAAGCACGGGCCTGGGAAATGGCGTACGATTCTGAAGGACCCACAGTTCAATGGAATTTTGTATCTCCGATCTAATGTTGATCTTAAGGTATAGTTTTCTATATCCTTGGATTAAGAGTTATAGAAATTTCACTCGTTTCTGATTTCATAATATTGTTTGATTGATGTTGGTTAGGACAAGTGGCGGAACATGAGTGTAATGGCGAATGGATGGGGCTCACGAGAGAGGGCCAGGTTAGCACTAAAAAGGACACACCGCACTCCTAGGAACGGGGAGAGCTCTATGTCTCAGTCAATCGCAAGTCAAAGTGACGATGAAATAGTCGATGGTAGGCCTCATGCCCCTTCAGGCGATTCTTCACCAAACGATGGCCCAAAGAGATCTATTATGAGGTTAGAGATTTTATTTACAATCTCTAGCAACATTTGCAATTCAAAGTTACAAGACTTGGTCCACTTGTGTTGTGCATGATCATTTCTCTTTTTATTTCAACTTTTTAGACAAGTATTCCCAATTTGTAGATGAGTTTCGTTGATAGTATTCTTGCTAGATCATAATCAATTTGTGACTGACATCTGCTTATGCAAAAGATCCTGAGATTATGTTTCTTAAAGTTTCTGGTGATGCTCAGAACTTACGTTTCTTCTACTTTATACTTGCATGTTGGTGTGTTACTTATTATGTTTGTGGTCCAGACAAAAAAATTGTGGTAAGGTAGTTTTGTTTGAAATGTCAGGGATCACTGACGGTGGATGTTTTTTATGCGTCTTGTAATAGGCTGGACAATCTCATAATGGAGGCTATAAACAGCCTGAGGGAGCCTGGTGGTTCTAACAAGACATCCATAGCTGCATACATAGAGGTACTTCTTTTTTTTATTAATTATAATTGAAGCCTAACCTAACCGCCTGTCTCTAGTTGTATATTTGCCTCAAACAACGTTCTTCGGGGCTGACTCGATTATGATTTATCATGTCTATCGAATTCATTGATGCAAGTTTCGTCATAGTTTATTTTTCTTCCACAAGGACCAAACCCCTTGTATTATTTGACGTGAGTTGATTATGTTCCCCGGGGTCTCTAGGGTTAGGGCAATGTAAATGCATGTTGTTTCTGATATTAAAAATTAAGAGCTCTTTTAGTTTCCGAGTTTAACATAATACTTGCTTGTTGGGCCTCAAATTGCCTCTTTTTGCCAGAAATGAGAAATTAGAATATCTTGAGCTTTTTTATTTCTTGAAATGGCTATACGGTTGATTGATTTTGGAGTGACTGTGTCTTGTAACTTGTAAGTCTTAAAACATAGGTCCTTCATTGTGAAAGTAGATGTAAGTGCCAAACTGTTCCTCTATTTAACGGGGATATGGTTCTGTTTCTTATGTTAAGTATGTAAATACG